AGATGGGGGGGGGGGGAACGTGCAGATCTGTGCTCGCAGAGGAGGGAGAGCTTGCACCTGAATAAAACTTGGTCTTAAAGGTGCCACTGGACTGTTTTGGGCCGGGGGGGCCGGGAGGGAGCTCTACAACTCACCTGGCTGCTTCTTGGTCTGACTGAGGGCTGCTGGGAGCAGGGTGCGGGGCTTCTTGCATGTGCCTGCCCCCTGGGCTCTTTACTGCTGGAGCTCCGCTCCTGTGCGCTCCTGCAGGAAATGACCCCTGCAAGTGGCTTCATGCAAACTTATCTCCTTCACGGGTAACCAAGGCAAGGTACACACCAAGTATGACTTCCTCGTGTGATGATGTGTACCTTTTGAGTGTGCTTTTGCCCAATCCCTCTTTGGGGAAGGCTCTTCTGGATCTCCCCACCACCACTACACGCCCATGAACACAAATGAAGCCGCCTTAAACTGAATCGGACCCTTGGTCCACCAAGGTAAGTATTGCATTCTCAGACAGGCAGCGGCTCTCCAGGGTCTCGGGCTGAGGTCTTTCCCAGCACCTCCTGCCTGGTTCTTTTAACCAGAGATGCCGGGGATTGAACCTGGGACCTTCTACATGCCAAGCAGATGCTCTACAACTGAGCCACAGCCCTGTCTTTACAGCTCTCCAGGCTCTCAGGCAGAGAGGTCTTTCCCATCACCTCCTGCCTGGTTCTTTTAACTGGAGATGCCGGGGATTGAACCTGGGACCTTCTACATGCCAAGCAGATGCTCTACAACTGAGCCACAGCCCTGTCTTTACAGCTCTCCAGGGTCTCAGGCAGAGAGGTCTTTCCCATCACCTCCTGCCTGGTTCTTTTAACTGGAGATGCCGGGGACTGGACCTGGGACCTTCTGCATGCCAAGCAGATGCTCTTCCACTGAGCCACAGCCCCTCTTTACAGCTCTCCAGGGTCTCGGGCAGAGGGGTCTTTCCCATCACCTCCTGCCTGGTCTTTTTAACTGGAGATGCCAGGGATTGAACCTGGGACCTTCTGCATGCCAAGAAGAGGCTCTACCACTGAGCCACAGCCCCGCCTGCAAAAGTCAGTGGCCTCTAGGTGGTTCTTTTGCGCTACCAGCTCAACCAAAGGTACCAACAGAAGTGACACAAGATTACTGGCAGCAGAAACAGCCAGGAGCTGGCATCCAATTCAGAACCTCCAAAAGCAGGCAGAGATACCAATCTGGCCCTCAGGCTGAAAAAGATCTATCCACACCTGCTGTATTTGAACTACTGTGGCTTGGAACTCTTCCAAACGTTCCTGGTCTTCCTTCTCATAAGTAGTAGAAAGGACATCTCTAATGTTCCCCAAGGTCCAACAAGACAGTTGGAGACCATGTGCAACTTGCAGGCTACGCATTATACCCACCTCAACGTGGACAATATTTCATAGAATCATAGAGCTGGACGGGACCTCCGGGGTCATCTAGTCCAACCCCCTGCACAATGCAGGAAATTCACAACTACCTCTCCCCACACAACCCACAGTGACTGCTGTTCCACGCCCAGAAGATGACAAAAAACCCCTCCAGGACAGGGAACAGATTTCCAGCCATTAGAATCATGGAGTTGGAAAGGACCTCCAGGGTCATCTAGTCCAACCCCCGGCACAATGCAGGGAATTCACAAACACCTCCCCCCCCACACACACACAGTGACCCCTGTTCCACACCCAGAAGATGACAAAAACACTTCCAGGATAGGGAAAAGATTTCCAGCCATTAGAATCATAGAGTTGGAAGGGACCTCCAGGGTCATCTAGTTAGCGCAGCCCCCTGTACAATGCAGGAAATTCACAAATGCCTCCCCCTCCCCACTCGCAGTGACCCCTGTTCCATGTTCAGAAGATGACAAAAAACCTTCAGGATCCCTGGCCAAAGTGGCCTGGAGAAAAATGGCTTCCTCACCCCAAAGTGGTGATCAGCATTTCCCTGGGCAGGTAAGAAAGGGCCGCGAGAACTAAGCACTGAGGCGACCCTTCCTGCCCTCGGTCTTATGATCTAACTGATACTCCCCAGACTTCCACTTTCATTCCACCAGCAATCACATGAAGTCGATTTGCCTTGTACTGAATCAGACCTCCATCGAGGTCAGTATTGTCTACTCAGACTGGCAGCAGCTCTCCCGGGTCTCGGGCAGAGAGCTCTTTCCCATCACCTGTTGCTTTTAACTGGAGGTGCTGGGGACTGAATTTGGGACTTTACGCGTGCTCTCCCACTGAGCCGCAGCCCCTCTAATCATGATCGAGGAATCAAGAAGAAGAAGAGATCGGATGTATGCCCCGCCCTTCACTACCCGAAGGAGTCTCAGAGCGGCTCACAGACTCCTTTCCCTTCCCCTCCCCACAACAGACACCCTGTGAGGTCGGTGGGGCTGAGAGAGCTCTCTCGAGGACTGCCCGTGAGAGAACAGCTCTGAGAGAACTGGTACCTGACCCAAGGTCACACCAGCAGCTGCATGTGGAGGAGTGGGGAGTCAAACCCGGTTCTCCCAGATTAGAGTCCGCACTCTTAACCACTACCTCACAGGCAATGCTCCCTCAAAGCTGTGGAGTCTTGTGAGCAAAAATTCTACTTTGTGAGCTCCTGGCGTTAAAGTTGTGAGGAAGCAATTTGGGTACTGCATATATTAGTTTGCTCTGGAGCCCTCCTTCCTGAGCTAAGACAAAAACGTGTGAGTCGGAGGCTAAAAACCTGTGAGCTAGCTCACACTCACTCAGTTTAGAGGGAACACCACCTGTGAAGTAGGAGGGGCTGAGAGAGCTCTTTTGAGGACTGCTCTTGCGAGAACAGCTTTGAGATAACTTGTGACTGAACCAAAGTCACACCAGCAGCTGTGTGTGGGGTGGGGGTGGGGAATCAAACCCAGTTCTCCCAGATCAGTGTCTGCGCTCCTAACCACTATGCCAAACTTAATCAAATCATGATTAAGAAAAACTATGCTACTCATCCGAGTCGGGGAAGCTTTAAGCAAACACAAACTTGGGCTGCTCGGTCTTCCCTAACCGAAAAGTTGTCATCCAGCCAGATGAGCTGATACTCTTGTGCAAACAAAAGACTGCGGAGTCATCGGCTTGCTTCTTCCTGTTTATGGAGAGCGCAGCATCCTGCGGGAGGCCCAGAAGAGTTCACTTGTGAGGACCTCCAGCCAAGTAGGACAAGGACTCCAGAGCAGCTTGCTAGAGGCCCCACCGTTCGAGCTCCCACCATCCCACCGTGGGAGGCAGAACTGTGCCTGACACCTCCCTGTCTGGCTCTCAGGACACTGGGGACCTCTTAGTCTGAAGAGGGAGGGTTAAAATATTCTCAGCAACAGGGGCTAATATTGAGGAGGAGGAAGATATAAGTTGCTGGTTTTACTGCCAACAGGTTTAATGCAAGGAGGAAAAGCAAATAAGTGCTTTGGGGGTGATAAATGCGGGCCCACTCAGCCAGGCTTTGGAGAGGGGCTGTGGCTCAGTGGGAGAGCCTCTGCTTGGCATGCAGAAGGTCCCAGGTTCAGTCCCCGGCATCTCCAGTTTAAAAGGACCAGGCAGGAGGTGATGGGAAAGACCTCCACCTGAGACCCTGGAGAGCTGTAAAGAGGGGCTGTGGCTCTGTGGCAGAGCATCTGCTTGGCATGCAGAAGGTCCCAGGTTCAGTCCCCGGCATCTCCAGTTTAAAAGGACCAGGCAGGAGGTGATGGGAAAGACCTCCACCTGAGACCCTGGAGAGCTGTAAAGAGGGGCTGTGGCTCTGTGGCAGAGCATCTGCTTGGCATGCAGAAGGTCCCAGGTTCAGTCCCCGGCATCTCCAGTTTAAAAGGACCAGGCAGGAGGTGATGGGAAAGACCTCCACCTGAGACCCTGGAGAGCTGTAAAGAGGGGCTGTGGCTCTGTGGCAGAGCATCTGCTTGGCATGCAGAAGGTCCCAGGTTCAATCCCCGGCATCTCCAGTTAAAAAGATCAGGTCCTTGAAGAGCTGCTGCCAGCCAGAGCAGACAATACTGACTTGGATGGACCATGCGTCTGAGTCACCGGAAGGCAACTTCATAGTTGTTGTTCAATACCTTTGAAGGGGAAATTAGACTGCAGATCACTGGGGGAAGGGAAGAGAGGCAGCAACGTGGCCTTAACGCGCCAAAACACAGACTGCAGCGAAATCCACGTGATAAAATACCGTCGCCAGACTCGCTTCTGTAACGTTTTACCAGCAGCGGCCATGTTGCAGAAACTTCCAGCCCCCCCCCCCCCCCCCACACGCAACCGGAGGGACTTGCAA